ATGGTCAACCTCTGATTCTAAATACATTAGGTCCTGCGGAAGATCAGGTTGAATCCCACACTGTGGATGCTGAAAAGCCTGTACATAGTATGCTCCCTGGCTCCCTCTAATGGCTGATGATTGTAAATACATTGTAGAAATATGCATTTCTATGGCAAACCGGATAACCAATGTAATAGTGGACAGTGTGATGAACTACAACTTCGGAGACAAAGGGGACAAATTTCCATTCAGCCATGGAAATTCACTGAGGGACTGAAACTGATAAAAACATTCTTTAAATATCTCACTTACCTTATTAAGGTTGCTATATGTTGATTCCAATTTGACAGCATGTAACAACGACAACAACGGTAGCTGAGTGCACTTCAGAAAGAAACCCCCCCTGAGGAACAGACAGACTTACCTCGTAATTGAGCACAGCCACATTCCACGGCTTGCGATAATATATGCCGGTATTCCCATCACGGACTCTGTCACACATTCCATTGAAAAACTCATTGTGAAATGCATTTGCCCTCGGTTGCATTCCTAGAATGTTGATACTGTGTGAATAATATATAAATAATATGTTATTTAAGTAGAGCATCTTAAATAATATCTAAATAATAGTATCCGAGGCCACACGTTTAATCAATATGGCCAGCCTATCAAAATTTCTGCATCTCCCTCTGCTGTACAGCCACACAGAGAAGAGGCAGGACGCAGAGCTCAAAGAAAAATGTCTGCAATCAGAGACCGCAGCTGAAATATTTTGTTGTTTTATGGCAACAGTAGGTCACCATGGCCCTCCAGAAGTTTTTTTTTTAACCTAATTAGCCAATATAGCAAAGGGTTAGGTAGTCAGTGTGGTCTAGCAGGAGACCTGGGTTCAAATTCCCACTTGGTCATACACACTTTGGTGGCACCCCTAGCAAAACTCCCTCCTTTAATATCTCACATACCTCAAAAACCCTACTAGGATCTCCATATGTCAGATGCCGTCAAATATATATATTGCTATTCATTGCTATTTATTATATTATAAATAGAGAGGGTCACAGTTCCCCAGTCCTGCTTTCTGGTAAACTCAGCTCTAAAATTACCATCGGGGGGTGGGGGAAACATTTCTCAACTAATAAAGACAGAACTCTTGCTTCAGCCAATACAGATAATTAGCAGGGCTGTAATTAGAACAAAGCAACAGAGGCTTTGTCCAAAGGCAGAAAATTTCAGAAGGCACTGAAATCTAGAGGGGAACCACTGTTGAGCATTCAGAAAATAAATAGTAATGCCTCTTATCTTCTTCATTTTCCTTTTGCTTTGTTTAAGTATAAACTTCCTTTTTTCTTGTCAAGGACATACTACAATCTCTTCCTCCTGTTTGATGGGGGGGTCATCCTCATGACTCACAGGTGAGCAGTAGGGGGTGACTAGGAGCAAATGCTGCTTGCTACCAGGGGTGGGGTGGGGGCAAGATGGCCGGATAAAGCTCTGAGTCCTGCTTCCACCCTGAGAGAAGGAAACCCTTTCCAAGCTTGGCTCTGCCTTTTTGGAGAAAAGAAGAATTACTTAGCTGCTCCTGCTGATTCTAAGACAAGCCAGACAGAAAAGTTCCTTCTTATGTGCAAATGCACACAAGGCTCTTCCATGAAAGAAAGAGGGGATATAAGTACCATAGATGAAATTTTAGAAAAGCCATGGGGGCCTCATCAAGAAGCTGTATAATCAGCATGTTTAATTCTATGACGCAGAAAGGAGAATGTATTATCAGTCACTTGATTATCTGCAATGCTGCTTTGTTGATTCTTAGGGATGCTGAACATGTCAAGGCCTTATGTAAGATACGTACACCCCAGATAAGAGTCTGATGAGCACTGGTAGATGCAGATCTCATTTTGTCTAGCCCATAATAGTTATTTCTTCCCATTACTCATGCTAGCACTTGAAAAGTGCTCTGTTTTCCTTACTTTCTCATTACTTTTAACCCACTATATTCCTGCTTGTTATAATCTTGCTTACTTTTCTCTCATTTTCTGTTTCTTTAAAAATAAATCTTGGGATTGATAGGCTGAAGTCCTGCTGGGGAACTCCATCTGCGCCAAGGGAATAACGTCACCACCACCAGCATATTGCTAGATTAAAGGCCCCCATTTGTGCAATTTTGAGGTGCACGCAGCTTTCATCCAATGCAGTGAAGTCACACAAGTACCCCAAAATGGCAAAAGGAAGACTTTTAATCAATGGCAATTTGCTGATGCTGATGACATTTTTCCTCTCATGCAAATGGACCTTGCTTGACAAGATTTCACCCATAATGTTACAAACGTCAGCCTTTAAAACACTATGGATGGTTTAAGAGAAGAGGACATACAGTATGAAAAGCTCAAACAGCCTCTGGAGAGGCCTACAAATGTCCTTTAAAAGTAATATTTGAAAAAACCTTAGTCATTATATCTGCAAAAGGATTTTGTTGTTCCATCTTTATCCATCCCTGCTCCAGTAACTAGTTACAGGCAAAGAAATTGCTTATAACTCATTACATCCAAGAACTAGTATTTCCAATATTATAAAAAAATGCATTTTCTTTCCTCTGGTCACTTTGGGAAGCTTATTTCTCCACAACAGTATTTCATGGAAGAAACCAATGAGCTGATAGTGCACTGTATGCCTCATCAGATACCCTCTGATGGGCTCCATATTCTGCTCATAAACACTTTCTGTAACATACCCACGTCCAGCAATTCTTCCGAGCTCTGATACATCAATGATCCGATCACGGCAGGGGGGAGGGCGCTCATTTTCACACTCAGCTTCGTCGGAGAGATCGCCACAGTCATCTTCCGTGTTACACACCAACCGTGACTTTATGCATTGTCCTAAGGACAAAATCGGGAATGAGTCAAACATTGCTATGTAATAAGAATCATAGATTAGGTTAGGCATCCTTCAGTTTCGAAAGACTATGGTAACGTGCTCTGTATGGAGGGCTTGGAACAGCATCTAGTGTGGCTGAGAAGGCCAATTCGAGAGTGACAATCCCTTCCACACTGAAGACAAATCCAATCTGTCCTCTGTCCAACTCCCTGATTTTGCTGCTTTTGTGACTTCTTCTTGCAGGAAACGTAAATAAGACCCCTACCTATTCAAACATAACAATAATACAATTATATACATATATATATGACTTCCTCTTGCAGGAAATGTAAATAAGACTCCTACCTATTCACTCAGAAGGACTTAATTTGTTTGGTGGGTGAGAACTGGAACAGCTAATAGATTATGGGGCTAGAAGGATAGGCTACCTTCATTTGCTGACCTATTAAAGGAACATCTCATGCATTCTTTTGATTGGACCACATGTTCTCATATTTTTATTCCCCCAACAGTCTTTTTATTTGCTGCAGGACTTCATGTTTATTGTAATTTAATATCTATAGAAAAATATGTTAAGGATATGCAGTCTAGACCACAATATTCCACTAAACGCTTAGAAAGAGCAATACAAGAGGACATTTATATGAATATTTCACAGCATTGAATTAGCACATTGTACTAAAACCCAGTAAGATTGCTTTATGTCTTATAGGGTGCAATCAGATAGTAATAAAGGATCACATCTGATTGCATTCAAAAGAGTTGCTTCACGGTGTGTGTGTGTGTGTGTGTGTGTGTGTGATCTCCCTTAAAGCAACCTTTCTATGCACACAGGTATGTCTCCAGCCCAGCTACAGAGTAGCTGTGCAGCTGGATCAAAAAAAGCTTGGGCACAGAGCAGGGTTGGGCTGGTTTATGATCTCCTATGCATTGTGTGTTTGCTGGAAAACACAGTAGCTGACACTAGACCATGGCACAAGCAATCCAAATCATGAGCTTTTTCTCTGTCTGATGGCACCCGTAGTCTGTTTTTCACCATGTAATTTTCCATGAAGGGAAGAGCTGCTTTTATCTATCCCATTTTGAACCAGTACTGGCAGGGCTGGAGACGCTGCTGAGGCTGCTGCTTCTGTATTTACTAAGCAGCAGGTGCGGAAGGGGCATGGATGGCAAGGTGGTGGTCAAAGTCTTTGACCTCCTAATTGATTCTTCATTCCTCACATCCCACTGGTGGTTGTTTGGCTCCTTGTAATACTGAAATAAGATTCAATTTATATACCCTCCATATGGGTGCACAGAATAAAGGGCAAGAAGTAATATCTTATCCTTTGCCTCAGGCCACAAAATGGCTTGGACTGAACAGGGATACTGTCTAAAAAACTTTTTGTAGAAGCATTGGCAAAATCAAAGGGTAAAATAACAGTGGAGGGTGACCCACTCCAAGGACAAAATACTGAGGCACCTTAAAGACAAAGGGACTGGCTGTTTTGGGGCAGTCTCAATTGGGCTGCAAAGGATCGGTTAAGGTCTCGGGGAATAGTGGTGTGCCATTTAGTGCGCTCCTCCTGTCCGAAAGGCATATTGACCCTCATGTCAATTAAATGCTTCCCCTGATTGTCTGAAGTGAATTTTTAATGTCTGCCAGATTACCGCTGATGTGATTAATCACTTCAATTACATTTTTGAAATGATTTTTTTTGCCTGTTTGTGCATTGCCAATCAAGAAACTGCGTGAAGCTGGAAAAAAGAGTGGCGAAACTATTTACTAAGGAAACCGCATGTCTGAGAGGTACAGGAGGAAAGCCTGAGGAACTTGGGGAGGGGGGAGGCCCAAGAAGAACTCAAGTCCATCTATATTCAAGGAAACAATACGCCAAAATAGGTAAGTCAAAGAAGGAACGCTCAAGGGAATTCTAGCTACCCTTCTGTATCTTTGCTGCCCCCGATAGCCCTTAGATGTTTTTGATGATATAGTTGTGACTTTCTGCATCTCTAACACTTACCACTGTCACACTGGAAATCTTTGCCACAGTCTGGTTGCTCTTCAAGGCAAGGGGTATCTGGCACGCAGCTTTCTCTGTGCCCCAGAGATTCATGGCACATTCTTCCTCCAAACTGTCCATAACGCAGGACGCTTCGTGAGCGATACTTTTGGGAAGACAGAAGGCAAATTAGTCTGCATCATGAAGTGTAGGTGGAGAGAATGGCTGAGGGAAAGAACGTGCACCATAAAAGGGGGGGAACATGTATATCTTGCTGCAAGCGACTTGCTAGATCAATGATACCTCCTTCCCTCAGTTTCCAGAGTCAACGGATTAGTTCTTGTGATGTCACAGAGGCAGAGCAGGGAAAGGCTGGGAGGGAAGCATCCACAATACACATGCACAGAGACACTGGGTCCTGCTGGCAATGAATGGAGAGAGCTTCAAAGACAACTCTGATGTGTACATCAGATGTTCATCTCCTCAAGTGCTCCTCACTCTTGAGATTTGTCTCCTAAACTGAAAGTCTGGAGAAGTATAGCTATTTCTTGAGATTTTATCCAGGTTCTTGAGACTTGCCAATGCTACCCCTGCTCCATAATGGTTTAGGAATTTAGCAATTCCTAAAAAGTGCAGGCACTCATCATGATAGACTCCAAAGCCAGCCTTCTCTTCCATAAGAAGAGTCCAACAGTGCAGGTATCTGGATTGGTCTATAGTAGAGGTGTGCAGATTAGTGTTTGGGCCTACAATGTCCAAAATCTGCCAAATAGTATGGCCACAGGTCATGCTACCTATAGAATTCCGGGAACTGTAGTCGAAAAGCGCAACTGCATACCTTTAGCCTGCATGAACAAATGAGGAGCAGATGTTTTGTAAAGCTATTCACTCTTGATTGTAATTTAAGGCCAACCCACCTATGTTTGGGGGAACTCCCACCCCTTATCCCTCCTTGCTGCAGCACACCCCTTGAAGAAGATCCTTTTCCAGGTGCACCATTTTTAGGTGACCGAAGAGGAGGTAAGGAGTTAGGAAATTATTTTTGCAGAACTCTGTTTTATCAGCACACTATGAACTCAGAGTTTGGGAAAGTTACTTTTTTAGACTATGGGTATCATCAGAGAGATAGTTCGCATTTTGTACTGTCTGTCCAGTGCAAGCTATTTCCCAGTGATCCGACAATGTACAGGAAGTCGCAAACTGGCATGACCCTGCTTCATGCCAAATCCTGACTTTTTTTGGTTCAGTGACAGGGCTACTCATGTTTGCTGTTGAGCTGAAATGATTCCTGTGAGCACCGAAGATTCACGATGAGGGAGATCACTCCTAACGAAGTGACCATTTCCAGCACAATCCTGCATCACTATCTGATCACACCCTATGACTCCTGGAACACCCCACACTCCATCCTCAGCTAGCATAGCCTCGCTTCCAAGTTCTGCTTTAAATGTCACAGATGGAAAAGTATCTCACACCAACTCAAAGTACGGGCATTTCCAAATGTAATGCACCCATGCTAGAAATTAGAAGACCCTGCAGAACTTTTGTTTTTTCTTTTTCTTTTCAGAAATAAGATGGAAGAAACAAGGAAGGGAGAGTACAATATTGGATGAATCCCCTGTAACATTCCATGAGTGAGGAAGGTTGATGGCATGATGGAAACCTCATCTAAAACCACTGTACATCAGCTATGTTTCCCAGGACTGCCTGCTTTCAGAGTTCTAGAAGGAGGTTATTTCATGCCACTCACTGCCTGGGTTTTTGAACTGGAGACAACACAGTCTAAGGCTTGTCCATTCCAAATCCAAACCTATGGCTGTCTATGGCTCTAAACAGAAAAGTCAATTTCTAAATCCCTCTTGAGGCAAAGCCTAAAAGATGCAGTTAGGGTTTTATTGCAGCCTCGCATGCCGCCTGGGGTTTGAGTGACGGGGATAGACTTTTCTGGGCTGTCAATCTTTCCACACTAATCATTTCCTACTGCCTCTGAATTCAAATTCTGAATTCCTTGTTTTTTTGCAGAACTCTGTTTTATCAGCACACAATGAACTCAGAGTTTGGGAAAGTTACTTCTTTAGACTGTGGGTATCATCAGAGAGATAGTTCGCGTTTTGTACTGTCTGTCCAGTGCAAGCTTGCATCCTGCCTGAATTCTGAATTCCTTGTCCCCTCTCTTTAGTCTGCTGGAAGTCAGTCTGTTGTTTGATCTGCTCGCAACAGTCATTTTTATTTTTATTTTTCTACAAATATCTCAGAGCGAATTGCTGAGACTTTAAGTGCCAGTTAGTGAGAAAAGGGTAGGCTATGGGGAACTTGAAGCTATTGGAGTATCTCTGTGCTTCTGGTGAGTAGCAAAAAATAGAATTTTACCCAAAACCCCAAACTCTGCAACAAATGCAACACATTCTTGTGACTTACCCTTTCTCTTGCACATGGGTTACAGGGTCCCCATTCACTCCAGGCGCTCAGCAAGCAATCGATGGGAGTAGGTGCATTCGGTTCTCTTCTCACCCTTGCACAGAAAATAAAACTTTTTATATATATAAAACATTGGTTGGTAAACTGAATTCAAAAACGATCTTTAGGCTATGACAGCCTATAAGTGCAATGCATGCATGTAGAAATATAGAATCAGATTGAATGTCATGAGAGAGTGCATGGCAAGGTACGTGAGTAAATGAAATTATCTGGATTCAGCTGCATATTTGCCATGGTTTCTTGCCTGTTTTAAAATAAAGGGATGGTGTCTTTATCGACAGCTGTGCCACCGTGTGGATGGCACAGTGAAAAGTGGTCTAGCCTAGAGATGGGCATGAACCACCGGTTTGGCAGGTCTCGCTGGTTTGTTTCTCAGCCAAGCAGGTGTGTGGGGCTTCCCAGCCTTCCCTCCCCTGGCTGGCGCCCACTCTGAGGCAGTGCCCCCCCCGGCTTCCTTGCTCTGCTTCCTCTGGGAAAGACTTGATGGCCTCGTAGGCCCCTTCCAACTTCACTTTTCTATGATTCTGTGATTAAGTATCTTAGACTATCGGCTTAAGCTAGGCACTTTGGTTCTGTCCTAGCATGTACGGGAACTGATGCAAAAGAGGGTGATCCCACCTACATGTAGACAAAAAAGCAGTAATCCCTGACAGGAAAGCAAAAAAGGCATATGGAGGCATACAACAGGGCTGGACTGTTTTGCAATGGCTCTTAAATTTTCTGGTCACTAGGAAAGGAGCAAACCAGCCCATCCTCAAAGCAAGCGGGAGACAAATCTCCATCTTGCCACATCTTAAGTTTCATTTTCAGTGCTCATTAAATAATGTAAGTCTTCTTGGAAGTAAACCCACCAAATTCAATGACACCAGTTCCTAAGTATGGTTACAGAGGACTGCAGCCTTTATATACCCTCCTCAGATTGCAGTTTCCATAAAAAGAGAACACTGGAAAAATTCAGAGAAACGTTCACACAGATGATAACAGACTCCTTAAAAATAGCTCACTTACCTTGATTTCTCTTCGGTGTAAAAGCTGTTTGTTCCTAAAATGAAAAGTGCCCCTATGAGAAGGAAGAAAGTTGACATAGTGCTGGTCTTAGTAACGATGCTAAAATAACTGAAAAACAATTGTTCTGAAATCGGAGGCATTTAGTCATTTCCTTCAGTTACATATTAGCCAAACAGCAAACAAAAAACCCTGCCAGATCTAAACAAAATTTGCTGTTCTGACTTTTGGGAAGTGCTTTGAAGTTTGTTGGCTGTGTTAGATTTGGAAAGTCTAATACCCTGGGCATTCCCCAAACAGGAATATATATATACGAGTATATACCAGGAAGACAAGATGAGAAAGAAAATATACAAGGAAGAACCCCCAGGCCTTTGAAATCTCTGTTCCAACTCTGCAGGTTATGAGGAAACAAGAAAACAATGGCACTACTTCATATCTTGATCATGAGGGCGGGGGGGGGGACACAGCAAACCAGTTAAAGGCATGTGAAAAGGGGAACGTGTAACACTCTTCAAAGCACGCTCGACTGCATTTCCACTGTCAAGATTTCACATGACTGAAAATATTTCACCAAGTGTTGCGTAAGCCCAGTCATTTTATACAGAAAGTTTTGTTGGGAAGGGAAAGTTTTGTCAGGCAGGCTTTTGTGAGCTGCAACCTGGTTCATCAAATAAAGTGTAGTCTGAAGGAGTGATTTTTCCTGTCTCTGGCCTAGAAGCCTAAGATGGCTTGCTCCTCAGACAGACAAGATGACCTGATTTCAACAAGCAGAATTCAACTAGGCAGAGTGTCCAGACAGAGAGCTTCTGATGCTGTCAGTTCCAAAGCATCCCACAGCTATGTTGGCTTTTTCTTCCTTAACAGATCTGTGGAAAACAGAAGAAAGTTATGGGGAAGATGTCATCAGGAAACACAGACACCTCTGGTAGAACGTGATCTATTACAGGATGATTCTTCGGAAAATAGCACATCTGGAAATTCCTTGAGAGTCAAAACTTTACTTCAGCACTGGGAACAGGACAATGTTGGCCTCTGTTGTGCACCTCAACACACCAGGAAGATGGCTCATTTGCCATGACTTCTTCTGTAGTGTATGAGGGCAGGAAATATGCTTTCCAAATTAATGAGGCCCCAGTGAAACCCAAGCTGAAATGAGTGGAAGCTGCAACGTTCAGCCTCATAAATAAGACACTGACTCCATATCTGGAAACAGTCTCCCTTGGAGAGGAAAACACTGTTTATCCTAACATTAGCTTGCCTCAATCTGCATTTTGCAAATTTAGTGACATTTGTTTATAATTGGTCATTCCAATTGTTTTGACATCGTAGCTGTGAAATATTTGAGAGCATAGAAAGACAATATTGCAAGATGAGGAAATATGCAGTTGTATTTGCTTTAATTTGTGATTATTATCATAGCTTGCACATTAAGGCAAAATGGAATTAATGACCAAAGATGAGATGGATTGAATCCATAAAGGATAAGCCCCGGCCACGAGAGCCGAGCAGGGTTGTTAAGGCATTTAGTAGGTCCCTCATTCACAGTAAACTAGAGGTGATTGCAGCAACAATAACTCTATACAGGAAGGAGACTGATGTGGTAATGTAGATTGTACCACTTCAGATGACAGGAGGAAGATTTTAAGCAAGCCTTTTTCCTGTTATGTGGATTTCATAATTTCACCCATTAAATCAGAAGAGACCATGGACACCTGCTATTGCCCACTGCCAGCCTCATGCAGCCTTGTCCATTCTGTCACCTCACATTGAATTTATCAGGCGAGTGCAGGGCAACCGCTTACACATTGTCAAAAAAGGGCAGAAAGCATCACCAGAAGAGGACACCGGTATATGTAAACTTTTGCGGAATATTTAATTTCTCATTAAATTCCCTTGGCTATGCAGTAGAAGTACACAGACTCAGAGAGGAGAAAAGCTTCACAGTTCCCCAGAGTTCACCACTTTCTCATTAACTGGCAGAGATTCAATAATGCATTCTGAGGCATTCGTTCATTACATTTCATTACTTACAGTTGTAAATAGAACAACAGCAAACAAACAAAATGCTGAGTTTCAACAGTTGAAACAGAGGGAAAGAGCACAGAGCAGAGAACCAGGGCTCTCTCTTTGAATCTAGAGGCAGGAAGGAATGATTGGTTAATTGTGGATAGATTGACAGTCACCCAAGCCCAGAAGGGCCCCTCCCAGACAACATGCAAGACAATATGTGTTGATGTGTTAATATGAACTGCCCAGAGTCGCCTTACTAGCAAGATGGGCAGTATATAAATTCAGCCAGTCCATCGATCGATACACATTCAGAAATAATCACAACATTTCAAATGGAAATGCAGTATGATAAATGTCACCACAGATGACCGAGTGATGTCTATATCCGTTGTTGTTGATTTTTCTGGTTAATGGGCAACTTCAAGGCTTCTGCCTGTTATGGTTCTTTCCTGTTAAAACATAGTGAGGATAGGCGGCCTATCAACTTGGGACCCATGGTGGCTAAACTGCAGTACTGCAGTAGAGACTCTGCTCATAACCTGTGTTCAATTCTGATGGGCTCACAGAGCCAGCTCAAGTTTGATTCAGCCTACCATCTTTCTGAGGCTGGTAAATTGAGTATTCATATTATTGTGGGGAGGCAATGAGCAGCCTGCTATGGGGCAGTATATAAGCAGCACACTTTGCTTTCCTTTTTCCAAGGTATGATGACAGATGTCCATGGAATAATTTCTAAAGGCAAAGCAGGGGGCACAAGTGGAAAACAGCCATGATAAGTCATTTTTGAGTCTATACCTTGGCAGTAACCAATGACAGATCTACCTATTTGGGGCCCTGAAACTTGAACTGTTATGGGAACCCCTTCACAACCAGCAACAAAGTCTGGGTAACCAGTGTTATCTTCTGCCATGATGTTGTTCCACAACAGATCACCACATTTATTTATTTTTTTAAAAGATGGAGTAAAGTTGCTTCTGAGGTCCCCCTGGGATTGGGGGCCCTGAAGCTTAAGCGTCACTAGTTCCACAGTAAATCCACCCCTAGCCATAACCTCAAAACCACTGTGTTGTGTCAGCCCAGTGGTGGCTTGAGCTATCCAGCCTTGTGAGACCATTCCAGCTGTCTCTGGAAGTGGCCTGGAGTCTGACCTCTTTGCCCTTTAGGGACCCGCTCACTTCACAGCTACCTCAGCCTCTGTCCTTTCCCCACTTAATTTTATTGCACATAGAAGTTGATGAAATACTGATAATGAAGCCCTTGTTTAGGTCAGATTATTTACTTTTGAAGATGTTCTTATTCAGGAGGATATTGGACCCACACCTGATAAAACAAATTAAACATTTACTGGTAATCCCCCCCTTGCCCCCGCTTTGTCTGTTCTATCATCTCTTTCAGGATGAAGCAACTTCAAATTACAAATGCAGGCCAAAGCAAACTGCAGGGAATTCCCCACCCTCGGGAGCAGCAGATGAGCAGTGTACCACTTCCTGAAATGTTAGGACCAAAATCTGAGACTGGGGTTAGCTCCTTGGGGTTTAAGAAGGTGGAACAGGCAAGGAATGGGTAGGGCTGTAGCTGCTAGGACAGCTGATTGGTGAAAATGTGCAGATGAATCCAGGTAAATTAGCTTTAAAACCTGTGCAACATCTGACTAACAAGGAAATGCTTTGAAACCTGGAACTAGGCAAAAGAAAATATTTTCAACAGGCTAGGCGGCTGTAAAATCCTCTCAGCAGCGGCAGCAGTTGCTACCAGGGCTGGCTTCCCACACAACTTCCCCTACAGCGCACATGACATATGGAGAATGGTTTCTGGCTCTGTGGTTCTGCTGGGGCTTATGGAAAGTTTACTCTCAGGGCAGAGGGAGCTTGTTCCCCAGGCCTTATACCATTGCTGCCTGGGCTGGTGCAACAAAGAAGTTCATGAGTCATAATGCTGGTACTCCACCACCACCCCCGCTTTGCTCCACATGGGGAAGTGGGTCCAAGGGCATGCTTTCATAGGCTCTCTTCCCCTGGATCCTCCACTTCTGGCTTTTTGGTATGCCTCTATTCCACAGGCTTTCACAGATGAAAACATGTTTGCATTGAGCCAGAAAGCCCCAGTGCCAGCTGGGAATGGGTAGAGATGGATGGCCATGGTTTAAAGTTGCCTCACTGACAGAAATTGTATGTTCCCCTTCAGTGCTCCTGGCCCTGAGGTTTGTCTTCCTGTCAAGAGACCTAGAGAAAGGCAGCAGTCCTTTGTGACTGTTTTCAGTTTTTGCTGCCTTACATACCGCCTGGAGAAGGTTTGGCTGGGAGGGCCTTTAAGGTTGGAGGGACTGTCCATCTACCCAGCACTAGCCAATAATTTTTCCCTATGTCTGAATTCAAAGAGAGCCCCACCTCTCTGCTTAGAGTCTCTTTCCCTCTTTGGTAGCAGTTTGTAGTCTGTTGAAATCTGTTGCTGAAAGCAGTAATGTTTGTTAGTTTGCTGTTTGCCCTCTTCACAACTGTATGTAAAGAAGATGTTTTTTATTCTTTCTCCTACTAATGTCTCAGAGTGAGTCATTGAGATTGTAAGTGCCAGTAAATGAGAAAAGGCATGTACTGCTCTGGGAAACTTTAAATAGTCCTGCTCTGTGAGAGTCCCTGCACTTCTGCTGTGTAGCAAGAGGAATTTAACCAAAAATTCAAAACTCTGCAACAGTCACTTCATGGAGCACCCTAAGGCCTAGGAATGCTACCCTCAAAGCAATGTTTTGAGATATTTTTCGGACTTATGCTTGAAGAGAGAAATCTGGAACAATCAGCCATTGTTGGAATGAACCTGAACTCCATAGTATCACTCAAACCGTTGTGCTGGATCAGGACTCAGTGTCAAAATGGAAATTCCCTGTCAATCTTCCATTCTTCCTTCGTGTGTAAGCAATAGTAAAGTAATTGTCGTGTTCTTTTTACTGTGAGAACCTGTCATCATTGTACAGCCTCGCAAGGTAAAAACACACAGCTATACCATCAACATGGTCAATTCATTAGCCCCCTGATTAGTCTATTTAGCTAAAACTTCCATAGTTTCAATTATTTTAGTTTAACTGTTTTGCTGGGACTGGGAACAGCAGTGAAGATAGAGAAACGGCTTGATCTACAGCCAAGAGAGGAAGGAGGGGAGCTAGTGAACAAGAACTTCTCTATATTCACCTGTTAAATATAGGAGGGATTGTCACAATTGGCTCTCTAAGCATTTCCTGAGCCATATTAATCAACTCACAACCAGCCCTATTCAGGCATTACTGACGCAAAAGAACTGAACATGCCAGCAGACAGTGCTCTCATTCCATTCTCTCCCCACCTCCATCCCTTCCTCCTCATTGCTTAGATATTGCAATCACCAACGTGTCTGATAGTTTTCCATTGTTGTTTCTCATGTGGAAGCCCTCTATGTCAACAGAAGTGTCTCTTTGGCCTTGTTGGGAATCATGTGATCTATTCACTTAGCTGGCAACTCAAATAAAAATGATAACATTAAGCTATCACATTTATAGGTGAATGATAGCCATAATCAAAGGTCTGAAGAGCCATCTCATAAGGATTTGTATTCTGAACCTCAAGAATACAAGAGGGTTGATGATTATAGGATCCATATTGGTTCTGCTCCACTGAAGTAACGTCTTCTGTTTCAATTGGGTTCCAGGTGGCAAGGAGATGATTACAAAAGTTGGTCTTTTATTGTTTACCAGGGGAGAGAAGGTCCGTCTGGATTGTCTTGAAGGATAATCACCAGGCAGATATCCTTTGGTTTGTATTCTTGCATTGAGCAGGGGGTTGGGCTTGATGGCCTTGTAGGCCTCTTCCAACTTCAGTTTTCTATGATTCTATGAAATGTGTGGGACAGGAAGTAGGAAAATCAAGAAAAGACAGGGGAGCAGAGTTCCTGGAGGAGCACCAGTTGCAAACTGGTAAGGTGACATAAGGCCTAGCTCTGTGGAGAGTTGACAGCAAGAAACAGCAGGTTTCCAACTAGATGTTGAAGCCATGAGTATGCTATAAGATGGATTGTTTACTGTGGGTTCCTTAAAACTATGTCAATACATTCATTTTGTTTTGTTCCCCCATGTTCTTTCTTACTTGAGAAACATATCTCAGACAAATCTATTGAGAACTTCCTGTCACAACCTGAATCTTCACTTTTAACTTTTGCATTTCTTCCTTTCCCTACAGAAAAAACAAAACTAAACTAAAATTCAGAAGAGGCAATACTCTACAATCTCTTTGAAAGACCTCAAGAGAGACTGTTTTGGAGATCACCTTTTTAGAATAATAAACAACAGTTTATTTTTTAAACTTTTCTCCATTATTAAATTCCAGCAGGCATGCTGCCAATCCGGAAAATGTTTTCTGCCCACATCCTGGTGCCATACTGACTGCAATCCAAAAACCTATTCATACCAATGGAGGCTGCTTCAAAAAAAATCACACCCGGGCAATCTTGCAAATTGTAGCCAGCTTAACAAGGCCAACGGTAACATGGGAAGATTGTGGTGGTCCTTTAAAAGAAGTGCTGTGCATTATAACCTGTAGCAGGTTCAATATTTTTCCTCCACCACCCTGGGGAATGGATGCTGGGTCTCCATGTACACATCCCTGTGGTGATCAAAGATCTACAGACAGAAGGCCTGCCTGGGAACAAATACTCTGCATACAAAATATTGTTGGTGCACTACCATCTAAAATGCTTCATCACAGCTTTCTTCCTTTTCTCAAACAAACCATATTTTAAGTGCATGACTCATTTGTAAGCCATCTCTCTTTTATCTGTCTGAAAGGTTTTTTGTTTCTTTCCAGAAAAAGTGGCACTTTCCTCCCTCCAAGACAGTTGGAATTCCTTTAGGATGAAGCGCTGAGCTGGATAACTTTTCAGAATAGAAAGTTCAATTTGGGTTCTCCACCTGTGAAATAGAAAATATTAGACTTTTTTTGTATTTTCTTTGTATTGTTACAAGCTTTACCGATTCCTAGCACAGGAAGATGTTCCAGAGCAAAGTTTGGGATTTTTTTTTAAGAAAAGGGAACTCCTTTCATTACTTACTGCTTCAAGGCATTTGGGATTTTATTCTTACTGTGGTCTCAAAAAATACCCAGTTGCATTGTATGTTATTAACACACCTTGCTGACAAAGGTCCACATAATCAAAGCTATGGTTTTTCCAGTGGTGATGTATGGAAGTGAGAGCTGGACCATAAAGAAGGCTGACCGCCGAAAAATTGATGCTTTTGAATTGTGGTGCTGAAGGAGACTCCTGAGAGTCCCGTGGACTGCAAAGAGAACAAACCTAGCCATTTTGAAGGAAATTAACCCTGAGTGCTCACTGGAAGGACAGATCCTGAAGCTGAGGCTCCAATACTTTGGCCATCTCATGAGAAGACTCCCTGGAAAAGACCCTGATGTTGGGAAAATGTGAAGGCAGAAGGAGAAGGGGACGACAGAGAATGAGGTGTCTGGACAGTGTCATCAAAGCGACCAACATGAATTTGGCCAAACTCCAGGAGGCAGTGGAAGACAGGAGGGCCTGGTGTGCTCTGGTCCATGGGGTCACAAAGAGTGAGACACAAGGTAATGACTAAACAACAACAGCACAGTGCTGACACTACCAAGACTGAGAGAAGCCGTTCTCAGTGGCTGCTCCCAAGCTCTGGGATGTTTTGTCCCAAGGAACCAGGTTGGCCCTCTTCCTTTTGTCCTTCCGTTGTCAAGCAGAGACGTTCCTTTTCAGGCAGACTTTTCAGCAATACATTTCTCAGGAATGCTATATTTATTAAATTTAGAGATTTTAAAATGTTTTTTAAAAATGTTTTAAATCTTGTTTTTATTCCTGATATATGTTTACTTTTTTAATATGATTGTTCTATAGTATTTTACAGCTGTTGATTTTTGCATAGTGTTAGTTGTTGTGAACTGCCTTGGGGAGAAAGGCAGCATGTAATATAAACAAATAAATTATAAAAATAAAAAAATGCAAGGAAATACTCCCTGGTTCCCTCTCATGGCCAACTTTGATATTGCAGCTTGACAAAATTAAAAAAAGAAAAGACAAAAGGAAAATACCGTTGTGCCTCGCTTAATGATTGCCTTGCTTAACGAGGAAATCGCTGTACGATTAGGTTTTTGCAATCGCAAAACGATAGTTTAAATGGTTTTTTTCGTTTAATGATGATTGGTTCCCTGCTTCGGGAACTGATGTTCACTTTACGACGATCAGCAAACAGCTGATCACTGGGTTTCAAAATGGCCACCAGCTGAAGAAAATGCCCCCCCTGCTGTTTTCTATGATGGATTCCTTGCTTTACAGGCACCGAAAATGTCCACTGTATGGAGGATCTTCGCTGGACGAGCAGGTATTCAGCCCATTGGAACACATTGAACGGTTTTCAATGTGTTTCAATGGGTTTTTTTATTTTGTTTGATTATGTTTTCACTCTACAGTGATTTCGCTGGAACGAATTAACATCATCAAGTGAGGCACCACTGTATTTCTTTGCCACTTAGAAATGATGAATGAAAAAAACTTGAAAAATTATTGTCAGTGCCTCAAAATGCCCTTCAAAAACATTGTTTGAACTAGAAGCCATTGTCTTCATAGCAAAACTCACTATTCTGTACAATGCTTGCATTCTGGAGAAGGTGCAAACTTTTTATATAATGTGATTGAACCTACCGTTTTCCAACAGGGATTACCTACTAAGCCCTCCACCATGGTTGCACCAATGTAATGAGGTGCAAGTTGTATATGATACAACATTTTTCTCATTAAGGAGTGTCATTATTTCTCTGATATGCTTAGTTACCTATTAAGTTGCTGTATTTTCTGCTTCTGTGCTGTGAGGAAGGTTAAGCCTCTTTCTTCAGTTTTCAGGTATTATTTTGATCTGTTTGCTTGCTCACTTTTTAAAAAGTGTTTTTACCTGTCTTTATAAGAAACAGCCCTGTCAATGTCACATAACCCTGGCTACATGGTAGATTACTCTGTGGCCTTGTCTTTATTTTTTATTTTTAATCACATTCTGTTCATACGTGTATCTCTATATCCACTTACTAAGCAGGCTTCAGGCTACAAGGTATGCAGCTCTGTAAACAAAACATACCTAATTAGGTAAAGGTAAAGTTTCCCCTTGACATTTTAGTCAGTCGTGTTCGACTCTAGGGGGTGGTGCTCATCCCCGTTTCCAAGCCGTAGAGCCAGCATTTGTCCGAAGACAGTTTCCGTTGTCACGTGGACAGCGCAACTAGACCCAGAACGCTGCTTACCTTCCCACTGAGGTGGTACCTATTTATCTACTCGCATTTACATGCTTTTAAACTGCTAGGTTGGTGAGGAGCTGGGACAAAGCGACGGGAGCTCACTCCGTCACGTGAATTCAATCTTACGACTGCTGGTCTTCTGACCCTGCAGCACACAAAGGCTTCTGCGGTTTAGCCCGCAGCGCCACCACGTCCCGTACCTAATTAGGTCATTTTCAATCTAAAGACACACATAATTTTTGAAATGAAGTTACATTTAATTGTCAGAAAGTATGACAACTACTTTTTACAGTGTAACACAATCCATACGCTTCTATATTTCCAGTCCAAGAGAAATTCATATAAATGGATAGTGTGCTTTTTTTCAATTGCAGAAAAGTGCAGGATAGTATGTACAGAGCAGATTGCGTAACTGGCTGCTATAGATTTAGAGTTTCCTTATTATGGCCAATCTCTGGTTTGGCGTTTACCTAGACATTTAAACAGACATCTGATTTCAAGTTTGTCATCGTTAAGTGTCGTGATGAGGAGGTGCAACACATTCTTCGTATCAGGTTCACCTAGTGTTGTGCGCTGTTTCCTTCTAGAGAGCATTCAAGCCACACCCTTGATTGCCAAGAATACAATCTTGTTTGACAGACTAGTTGTTTGAAGTACTGTACAGTTTCTTTCCAACTTAACAGTGTGTTCATTAAGGCGTTTTTTTAAAAAAAACAACAACTTCTGCCTATTTCTGTATCTCTCCTTCTCCCAATATTTATTTGAATATGGAGCAAAAATATGTTGCTGGAGGTCATTGCTGTAGCACAAGATGTGGCAGGAAAACCAAAGCATACGACGTTTCAGCCATTCCAAAAGGTTGCCAGGAGTGTCTCAACTGCTACTGGGTCACATGGGCATAAAAAAACAATCCTTACTACGTTGAGGGATTCACCAGTTAGGAGCCAAACCCAATCTTGTCCTATTTCATACCAATTCCATTTTTTTTCCCAAACCTGGCCATACTGAGTAGGTAGAAAGTGGAAGTGCTGGAAGTTTTTAAAGCTTGCAGTTAAGCTCATGAGGTGACTATTTGGCCATTTTGCATTCTAGGTGGCTCAGTCGTGCCAGTTCAGATCACGGCTTTCTTCCCTTGTGTGGCGGTGCAGTGATTGTGAGATGGTGCGACTTCATCCTATAGCAGAATGTTGAGTTTCTCCTGCATGTTACAGTTAAGTGCTCCCGGCCTGGACAGCAAGCCCAGTGAAGACCAGAAGTGTTCAGTTACTTAAATCCCACACAGGCTGAATTCACTCCCAGTTCCAGTGTGCTCTCTAGCAGATTCCCTCCTTGGCTTCAGCTGGTTGTGACCCAGGGGTTTCAAGAAGGGCTGTCTTCTTGAAAGAATTGGGTGAGGCATGAGGCAGATAAACACCAAGTGAAGACAGTTGCAGGACGTCCAGTTATCCACTGTGTTCTTTTGTCACAGCAGTTCATTCTGGAGAACAAAAATTAGAGTTAGCAATACATCCAAATGTTAGGTCACATGACACCCATTTTCTCGAAACTCACTCCAAGTTTAGTGATGGCTATGCTTATTTAAGTGGTGGTAGAAGATGCTTGAAAGATACAATGGGCAATTTGCTAGTTTTTGATTATCTTGATTAATCTGAGTCTATGTCTCCTCACTTCCAGACCTCTATTTTTTAATCCAAGTAGTCTAGCCTAATGCTGTTTTCCCCTTTCTTGTTAATTTGTTCATCACAGTTGCAATCTCTTCATTGTGCCCAAATCTTAATGTGTTATGTAGTGACACTCACCCACTACCAACCTGTCCCTCTAGCTTCCAGTCTGGGTTCAGCAAGGATCTCACCATCTCCGATCAGTGTTTTAGTGGGAGTTTTGTGTTTACTTCCAAATGACTGTGTTTTGCCTTCTTTCATCATGTCAGTACTCATTATTGATCTTAATTCCTAGTAGTGATCCCTCATTTCCTAATTTCTTCCCAGTCAAAGCCAATCCTCTTTATATTTGCTGCTTAGGCAACTAAGGCTCTGTGTTGGTCTCAGGACTAGTATAGTAGTAATTTTATTAGACAGAGGCTCTTTCCTATCAGATAGCCCACCTACCCATAATGCCCTAGTTGCCTAGGTTTTATGAAATCAAAATCAGTGTTGCCCAATCTGATTCTCGCTTTATGTAAAATTACAGACACTACTGCAGTACTCAAAAGCATCATATATAAATCACACACACACACAGGAGCAAGCTGAGAATTATCAACTAATTAAGAGCTACAAAGTCCTCAGATTCCTTGCCCTTTTACAAAACAACTACAATGTTATGGTGCTCATAAAAGAACATGCAATCCTATTTGCCTATAATTTAACAGGAATAATCCCCTTTGAGCAGGCTACTTTTTCTCTCAATCATGCATATCTACAAAATAAATAAATAAATAATAAAAAGAAAACTCATAGTTCTAATTTCCCTGTACAGTAAGGACCCCTCATATCCATAGAGTCAGTATGTGTGTTTTCAGTTGTTCAGTCATCACTGCTGCAACTCAGCCCACAGTAGGCATGCACCCTCTGCAGTATACAATGCACTTGCATCCTCCTCATCCCCTCAACCCCAGTGGATAGGAACAAATAGGTTTGCAACTATCTGCAGTTTCAGGCATCTGCAAAGGGACTTGGAACCTATTCCCACAGCTACGGGGCTCCTATTGTACAAAACAGTGACAGTTGTTAAAGTTTCACTTGACCTAATTTTTTATTCAGGATCAAATCAGATCAGATCAGGGCCAAATCTCTCTGCACAGATTCGGCACCACAAAGTTGTTACTTGGCTCCTCAGCTAAATCAAGGCACCCTTTCACACTGCTAAGTGTGAACTACTGAAAACATGAGACAGGTATCAGCCACAGAATGACTTGTTCAGTAATGCCTAATATGGAAGCTGATATTACACCATGTCCCACGTATGTGTCTGCAGAGCCCTTCTAGATTGCAAAACATCATTGTTTACCTTTGCACCAGCTTTTGCAAGCATCAGTCACTAGCTGCCTTGCATTTAGTCACATTTGGGCTCAAATCATTCTAAAACCATGGTTTTCCGTCTTTGGATACCTGGTTTAGGTAGACTCCCTAAAGCCACAGCCAGGACAGTAAACGTAAGCTGAGATCTCAAACATTTGGTGGATGAAGTGTATAGGACCACTGTTTGGAACAATTACTTTCCCACCATATGGACATAGCAGTTTTTAAAGATAGCAAGTTTTCTCTCTTAGAGGACGGACAGTTTAAGTTTAAGATGGACTGACGCAGGAAAAAGGGCCAGCACACTAAAATCAACTCACCTGCTGTGTCTATGCAAATGGATTTCCAAAATGGTCACCAAATGGTGCCAGAGGCTGTGGCTGATGAGTTGTAACCTAAGAGAAGGGAGGGGAGAGAAACTTAGTTAGCCTGTGTAAAACCTTCTGCTGAAATGTTTTGCATACACAAGCAGGAAAGGTTATGAACACAAGGAGACTATTATCTCTTCTAGACATGCCAGCTCTTCAGGTTTTCAAAGATTTTCTTTGGCCCACAAGATTTCAGATGAGCCTATCTAATAGGGATGTATTGGGAATCTACTATGTTGGGTTTATTCTATATATGAAGGTTACTCCAGCCCACTCTTTCCAGAAAGGAGTTTAGATTGCATACACTTTTAATTCAGAAGTCCACATATTTCAAGACTTTGGCAAGGGTGTGCCATAAAATGCATGCATTTGAAAACTGCCTGAAGAGCAGCATCAGATCAACACAAGGTAATCAACGTGTTCAAATAATGCATACCATTTGAAAAATAGAGACAAGAATTAACCTTTAAAAGGAAAGACGTGACACAAAAGAGTTTTTGTCTGTTAAAAAAATTGCATGGAAAAAAACAGATGGGACTTAGACCTGGAAAAAAGGAAAAAGCCTGCGGAAATTAATTTCAGTAAGGTGTGTACCCCTAACATCTCCTCTAAACTCAGGATGTTACATTTTAAAAGTATCCTGTGTCACTGAGTACTTCTCAGAAGCTAGGTTTCTGCTGCCATTATTATTGCTCCAAAAGCACAAGTAATTTACTGTGCATTATTTACACAGGGTGTTATTTTCAATAATACGTATGTACCATCAAGTCAATTCTAACTTATGGTGACCCTTTCTAGAATTTCCAAAGTAAGCAGCAATGATTTACCATTTCCGTCTTCTGGGAGCATTATGGACTGTGCAGCTTGCCTCAAGTTTACACAGGCTGGCTTATATCCAAGACATTGAGCTATCCAGCCAGCATATATTGTCTTTAGCAATAATACTGTAGACCAAATCACATGGAAATACTCATTGGGTAGCTCTAGTGCCCAATTCTGGTATTGCACTTTAGAAATATAAGAACACAAAAGACAAAACCAGAGAATTTCCCTTGCCAGTTAGGGTTGATAAAAGAAAAAGAAAAAACCTGAACAATTCCTATTAAAATGTTCCTAAAAATAATATGTCCTTGAGAATTAAATTGTGAAAATACTGTAGCTAGGTCCATGATCCCAAAGTAAACCAGGCTTACTTGTTACATCTAAATGTAACTTTGTGTATATAAATCTTGCAACTTTTTACCCCAAAAATAACAGGCTATGTCACAAAGTAATTAGTTACTTTCAGGCTCTGCATCTAGCAATATTGTAGCAGTTGATGGAGAAGTAGCTGCTTCTCAAGTCAAAGGAAAGGAAAGTGAATACAAAGGAAAGCAGAAGAAAGGGAACTCAAAGAGTATTTAGATGGTACCACCTGCGTACAGTGGCTCAGCCCTACCAGGAAGGGCTGTTAAAGCCCAGAATTTATGCAAACATGCACGTCTGCTAGCTCATTCAGTTGAGCATCAGTGCAATCTTTTTGAGCAGATAGGTAAAGGACATAACAAATGTTTGCAGTATTTCTTATCCTTGGTGAAAAAAACTGCCTCAGCACATGGAAACGCCACAGCAAAACCAACCAAAACACAATGACCACTGTGAGATTTTTCATGCCGGCATGAAAAAGAAAAGCAATTTCCCGCTCCACAACAGCACAAAAAAGCCAAGATTTTTTTCTGCAAAAAATGCCTTCTCCGGGCAAAATCAGCTTCTTAGAATTTTTCACCGAAAGCGCTACCATAGGAATCCATCTCATCTCAGCCAGCGGGGAGAAAACATTTAATATTTTTCATTCTCACATGCAAGAATGACAGATGTAAATGTTTACATCCCTGCTGGCATTCTCAGTCATCTTGCTTGAACACGGACATCATTCAAACTACAGACTGAGGGTTGTAAGGATGGTTTCCACTTCATGGACAACACAGACAAGCAGTGCAGAGCCTTTCCCTGGAGAACCAACAGGATTCGCATTCATGCTCCTTTTATTTCCAGATGACTGCCCTTCACATGAGCTAGCAGTGCTTTGAGAGATCTTGCATGCCATTGTTCCGACCCACTGCTTTTACAGTACTAGTTGGCACCTTTGCCTATGCAAATAAATTTGAACAAGGAAGTGCCAATAATTTACAGATATCCAAAGGCTGTGCCGACACACAGAAATAATGGAGACTATTCATCTTCGACAGGGAAGAAATCTCTTAGGGGGAGACAGGAGTCCAGAGTCTCCCAACATGAGTGTACAGCTTATTATACCAGATATACTGAAAGCCTTATACAGCCTGCGTGTGAAGTGCACCTTATTCATATACTTACTGAATTCTGTGAGGAAGTGGTGAAAGGATCTATCTTAAAAGGATTTTCAAATGGGGCTTCCGCCGTCTTGCCGGGCAACACAGCATTTTGCCAGGGAACAGGCTTGGATGGAACTGTGTAGTAGGAGGATGATATTTTTTTTTTAAATCAAGCTACTATTTTGACAGCACCCTAATCAAAACATTTCATGAGACACAGCAAAGGAAACTGAGTCTTGCCACCAAACATGCTTCCTCTCATCAGGAAATTATAGCTAATTTCAGTTTACCTCATATTCATATTATATTTGTGAGACACCATTTGTATTTAGATAGTCAAAGTTTAACCAAAAAGCCAGATGTAGTGTACAGAGAAGCTGTCCGTGTGTCACGCTACCACTGTCTATTAGCATCCCACCCCACTAAGTTAGGGACCCAAGACACAAAGCTTCATTTTTGGAAATGTTCCCTATTTAGGCTAGCCTGTATGAGATTTAAAAGTGTGCTGTTCCTCAACATTTATGAGAATCAGCCTTCAGACAAGCTTTCTTTTTAACATGTGTGTCACTACAGGACATTAAGGGTCATGAAATTAATAGCTGCAGCCATTTTCTGCAACCCAAAATGGCCCCTGGTAGCAGAAGTCCTGTCCACGTGGTTGTTGTTGTTTAGTTGTTTAGTCGTGTGCGACTCTTCGTGACCCCATGGACCAGAGCACGCCAGGCCCTCCTGTCTTCCACTGCCTCCCGGAGTTGGGTTAAATTCATGTTGGTCGCTTCAATGACAATGTCCAACCATCTCGTCCTCTGTCGTCCCCTTCTCCTCCTGCCTTCACACTTTCCCAACATCAGTGTCTTTTCCAGGGAGTCTTCTCTTCTGTCTATAGGAGACAGGTTACCTTTGCTTATAGTAAAATGATTGCTATAACTTCAGCTGTTAGGTGGCAGGCTAAGTAAACCCTGCACGGAATGCCGCGCTAACATGATGGATCTAAAGTCTTGGCCAACAGGTAAAGGTAAAGGTAAAGGTTCCCCTTGACAATTTTTGTCCAGTCGTGTCCGACTCTAGGGGGCGGCGCTCATCTCGTTCTTGAAGCCATAGATCCAGCGTTTGTCCGAAGACAATCTTTCCGTGGTCACATGGCCAGTGTGATTTAGACACGGAACGCTGTTTACCTTCCCACCGAGATGGTACCTATTTATCTACTCGCATTTGCATGCTTTCGAACCGCTAGGTTGGCGGGAGCTGGGACAAGCAACGGGCGCTCACTCCGTCGTGTGGATTCAATCTTATGACTGCTTGGTCTTCTGACCCTGCAGCACAGGCTTCTGCGGTTTAACCCACAGAAAGTTTGCTTAATACAGCTGGGAACTCAACAAGGATTTTGAAAGAATGGCAATACCTTTACAGTGGATGGTGACGATGGTGATGCATTTGCCTGAGGAAGGCAGCAGTGCCAGTTTCCTCACCTACAGTGACACCTTTATCTCCCCAAAAAGGGTTACACAGAAGCCAATAATCATGAAGTATAATGTATCTATAATTCCCCTTATCCTGTGTCACCAACTCGTAGCATCATATACAGTATAAGGTTTCCCAGTAGCTTCCATCCAGGAACTGACCAGACCTAGACCTTCTTAGCAGCAGCCAGCAAGCTTTCCCCTTTCCTCAACTATCCTTAAGAGCTACAGATATGTCTTGGGTTACTTAAATCTGAGTAACTACAAGAGCTCACAATTGCTTTAGCATTTCTGGTGCCTTCCTAAAATCATGTACACATCTAATGGAAAGATCTGGTGAGCAGCCTGTTCAGTATTTACACACATTGAACTCCTAATGCAGAAAGTGTTACAGTGATCTGACAAAGTACAGGTCATATGTTTGGTCACATTGGCCACCATTTTGTCAGACTACCACAGCAGCTTCTGCAGCTGGAACTCTGCATGTATGTAAATGTTAAACATTTACATGCTGAGCAGTCCAAGAGAAAATGGGTCATCCATAGACACCCAGCATGTGTGCAATGTAATTAAGATTCATCTGGACACTGCTGTCATTATATTACCTCAATGAAGTCAAGAATAGCTCCTAGTTAAAGGATTTTTATGGAATCATTTTCTCCCCCAATGATCACTTAAGATACCCATCATACACTCTAAAAGTATTTTCCTTTAACTACATCAAAATAGACTTGGAAGAAGAGGTCACCACTTGATTCAAGAAGATCAGTGGCATTACCATCAGTTTGAGCAGATGGCCAACTAGCTTCCAAGTCATTGTGGTCGGCGTAGTCTTGAGGAAAAACCAACTTTGCAACAGAAATAACTGGCAAGGGCTCCAGAAGCACCCAACACACCTTGCTGCTGCTGCTGCTCTGCCCTTCTTGCACACCCAACACACCTTGCTGCTGCTGCTGCTGCTGGTGCTCTGCCCTTCTTGCGGGCACAGCAGGGGGTTTCGTCAGCTGAAAGTCTTTGAACATCTCTTTAACATCCTTGATTTCCTTATCGCCAAGTGGATCCAGAGCAGTGAAGGCATCACTCTCCTTCTTGTTTGGCTCTTTCTGAGATGCAGTTCTGGGAGGTAGCTGTGGGGGAGGACATGCGGAAGACATGGAAGGCATCATCGATAGAGGCTGGGTTGCTAAGGTGGACGAGAACATGTTGGTCTGGAAAGGGTTCCCTGTACCGGGTGGCTGCATCCACGCATTGGGAGGGGAAACCCGTGCAGACTGACTCCAGAGATCAGGAGCTGGAGGCTGGACAGGGGCTCCCAAGGATACAGTCTGGTTCCAGTTAGGAACTGGGGAAGGAGCGCCAAAATTAAGAGGAGGAGTAAAGCTCGCTGGCCGAGCACCTAAAACAGATCCAGAAAAGCCTGAAGGTTGATGGCTGAAGGCTGAAGGCTGGGGACCCCATGCTGGTGTTGGGGAAGTGGCTGTAGGCAAGCTTCCTCCTGGGGAGAAAGAGAAGAAACCACCTTCAACACTTAATGCTAAACTTAACTTTAGGTAACTCCAGACACATAGCAAGATCCAATGTTTTATAGATACCAGCAAAAATATCTACATAGTGTAAAATCCACCAGCATTTTGAGTGCAATCTTTAGTCAAGCAAATGTGCAAGCTTACAACCGGCTGAATACAGCTGTGCGTAAAAGTTACAGTATACAACATGTGGCATCAACCACTCCGGACTACAGATGGGTACAAACCATGCTTCGGCACAGTTCAGCGGATCAGTCCCACAGGTGTTGCGTGGGCACCCTAGATTCTCCACCCCACCTCCTCCCATAGACACCCACTCAGAGAAGGAGGCAAAGCAGGGAAACCCAGGGGGCTCCCAATGTGTGGGCACCCATGAGAGGAGGTGGGGCAGGGAATCCGAGATGCTCACACAACACCTATAGATCGGAGCCACTGAACCACATTGAACTGTGGTTCATGCCTCTCTCCGCACTGAAACACTCTTTGTTCTACAGTATCACCTGGGCTTTGGGAAAAATCCAAGCTCTGCCCACTTTGATCTGAAATCCATAAAGGCATATTTAGAAGAACCATGTGTCCAAAGTCCAGGTGAGCTTGTCTTGCATGACCAAAGAAAATATGAGTATTTAGGCTCTTAAGTCTCAGCCAACCAGAGTATATGCTCTTACAAATCAAAGCAAGGTTTTGGAGGAGAAAAAAAAGGGTCATCCGGTCCTGCTCCACCTTTTTCATTTTGTTTTGTTACAGGGCTCCCAGCAGGCACTAGGCAGGCGTGTTTCTCTCAGCTTACTCTTGGTTTAGAGCAAGTTGCTTAAGCAACTGGCCTGGATACAGAAGTTCTGTCGGCCATCCTCTGTGTAGGAGAATTCAATCTCACTGAATGTCCCATTTCACGTATCAGCCAATGTTATGCTTCTCATCAAGGCCTGCATTGGGGGGGGGCGGTGTAGGCAATGTGTAGACTGTATAACTAAATTGTAAACCCTCCAGAAAGTGCTTGAAGCACTATAGGACACTATAGAAGCAGCACTTTTTAACAATTGTAAACCTCCCAGAAAGTGCTTGAAGTACTACAGGACAGTATAGAAGCAGCACTTTTTAAGACAGCTTTTACTAACCTAATACAGGCATGGGAGCTGCTGTGGGAGCGCTTGAGTTGAAGAGTTCTAGAGAGCTGGTTTGTGCAGAGGCTGGCTGGGTTGCCGTGGTCAGAGAACTTGTTGCAGGAAGTCCCGGAGCAAAGATGTCAGAACCAAACAAGTCATTGGCTGCATTCTGGAAATCAAGACAAAAAGAAAGACTCGATGATGATGATGGTTCTCTTTGCACAGGGAGTCCAAAACTTCCTGGGATTAAAAAGCTACTTCACACGTGTCTCGAACTGTTATAATCCTTCATCTTCTCTGCAACCTTCTGATATAACAGTTACAGAGTCCAGCTATTTGAGTTGAATGAAGTACAGTAAAAATTTGTCATGTGCTGGTAATGCTGCTGGGCAGGAGATTCATTCCAGAACCAGAATTCCAGCCATATTTGGATCTGACAATATTTGTTTGGTAAACAGATTAGGCATACCATTTTGAAGAGGAGGTACTTCAGGACTCAAATTAACACCCGGAGGCACAAGGCAACCATAGTCAGAAGTGCTACTTTCACTCAAGGATCGTACATCGACTGTTCCTGATGAAGGTCTGAGTATGGTGACTGAAGGTGTTGTTATATCCAAACTGCATTATTGCACTGCTCTGCTCAAGGAGTATCTTTCAAGTGTCTCCCCAGTGACCAAGACTTAGGAGTGAGAAAGCTGCTGAGCATTTCTCTTCAAGTGCTTTGCAGGAACTGCAGTGCTTACCAATTTGTTTCCAAGTACAATGCATTGGCAAAGATCTTTAGATGGCTTTAGATCCAGAATAACGAAGGACTGCTTCCTCTCCTACCAGCCTATTCATGTATGAGGATCTGGTGGAGAGGTCTTCTACGTCCTTATCATTTTGGATATCTAGCTGATAATGGACAGCTATGAGCAATCTTTGCTTTTTGTACTACAGCTCCCCAAATCCTACACACATCACAACCACTGGCCGTCTTGGTTGTAGGATTCTAGCTACTCTTGTCCAAAGAATAAACACACACCATTTCTAGCTAGGGAAATGGGAGAAAGGGTTTTCCTGGTGATAGCACATATATTATGGAGCTTCTTGCCTGGAATGGCTCAGTGGCTCCCTCTCTTATGGAATTTTGCCCCACAGCAGGAATGTTTGTTTGGTAGAACTTGGTTTATTCAGACAGATAAGTGTGACCAAATTCTCTCATTCATCTGCTTGGTACAGTGGTGCCTTGCTTAACGATTGCCTCACTTAACGAGGAAATTGCTGTACGATTAGGTTTTTGCAATCGCTTTTGTGATCGCAAAACGATGGTTTAAATGGTTTTTTTATTTAACGATGATCGGTTCCCTGCTTCAGGAACTGATTTTCGTTGGCTTTCAAAATGGCCGCCGGCTGAAGAAAATGCCCCCCCCCCGTTTTTAGGAAAGCTTTTTTGCTTAACAGGCACCAGAAAATGGCCGCCATATGGGGGATCTTCACTGGAAGAGGAGGTATTCAGCCCATTGGAACGCACTGAACAGTTTTCAATGCATTTCAATGGGTTTTTAAATTTCGCTTGACAACATTTTCGCTCTACAGCAATTTCGCTGGAACGAATTAACGTCATCAAGCGAGGCACCACTGTATATACTAACTGGTTTGGGGAATGTTATTGTACTAGTTGCCATAAAGGGTATGCAAGAATGGCAGCGTATGATTTTCTTTTCTGAAATAACAAACCAAATTAGCTCAAGATCACTTTGACTGCGTTTAGGCATAGAGCCAGTGCTCATTACATAGATCTGTTTCCATGCACTACTTCCTTCTAAGTTTCCAGCAGCCCCTAACCAAAGGAGGGGAACGCTTCTGAGAACATTAGCACAGGTTTACCTACCCAGAGTTAGACCAACATTATACCAAGAGGACTTACAAACCTCTCCTTAGCCTCACTTCTGAGCTACCATGTGCTATACAAGGCTGCACATTTAATAAGTCCCTCCCCTCCCATTCATTTTATCAAGACTGCATTTTCTTCCAACTTATATATATAGGTTATATATATATATAGGTTATATATATAAAGATACATATATTAAAATGCCTTGTGAGATGGGCAATCTTACTTACCAGAAGTACCAGAAGAGGCATGGCAGCAAAAGGAAAGAGAAAATTAGGTTTAGAAAGAAAGACTCTCGATGCACAGAGACAGCTAAGCTACAGAGGAATGTTTACGGTGACCGTAGACTATAGCTTTATTGACTGAAGGTCACCAAAGCTTTTTGTTGAAGAGGGAGTGAGAAATGCCTCCACCTCGTCCAAGCATAAAAACATGCATGTCACCCCAGTGCTCGTGCATTAGTGTTCACCTTAACAGTCCTCCTTCCTCTTCCTGGCTTGCTACTTTGTGGAGGCGGGCTAATCGTGATAGAATCTTGAGTCATCAAGGAGGGGCTGCTTTCAGAGTCTAGCCGTAATCCATTTTGCACAGGCACTCCTTTGGAAGAGCTCTCCACGAAGACGTCTAGGGGGGATTTGGCAGGAAAACCATTCTGTTCTCTCTCTGGGATCCCGTTGGGAATCTTGGCCGCTAGCTGGGCTGGCTTTGTCTCCAGCGGCCACTGGTTGGCCTGCAGGTCCTGCTTACCCGTTCGGTTCGAGATCTGGTCAAACTGTTCCCCAAAGTAATCGGCATCCCCATTGATGCCATTGCCCCCCATCTTCGGAGGGGAAAGTTTGAGGGAAGAATCAAGCGGGGGGCGTGCCAATTGGTCACGTTGCGTGAAAGGATCGTCGCTGAAAGGGTCAGGATTGGGTGTAGGGAAGAAGCTGAGGTTTGCAGAGAAAGCATTTTCAGGCAAGAAAGATGATGGTGGCTTTGTCAGTGGGAGGGAAGGCGTGATGTCATTCAAGAAAAGCTCCTCCCCTTTGAGAGAAGTTGGAGGGACCTCAATCTCAGAGTTTAAATCCACTAACAGGACCTCTTTATCCTCCTCCTGTTAGGGTGGAGAAAGATAGACAGATTAGCAGAAGAGTCATTAAGATATGGGCAAGTGATTCATGTGATCAATGATTAAAAATAGCCAAGCAGATTCACAGGGAAACACTATAAATATAGGCTTATTTATGACCTAGAAGGGGTTTGCTACTTGACAGCTACCTTGCAGTGAAGTACAGACATCTTCTACTAGCATTTTGATCTTTGGCTAGGAAATACATAGGTCAGGATAAATCAGGCAATTCTGAAGTTCTAGCAGAGAGGTAATGAAGGGAATCTTCATTGGAACAGGGTTGAATATGGATGGTGGAGACCACTGTCAAGGTAGCGTGGTTAGAGCTGAAGACCTCCAAGGTTCTAGCACCACCTGCCCGGCAAACCAGGTTGTGGTGGCAGTGTGTTCATATGAATCCTCATGCTTCTTGCTCCATGCTTTCTTCCTGATCCTTACTTATAACATTTTCCGGAAGCACACTACATTTCTATATGTACCTTCAGCTGACTACTGACTGAGCCAGTGATGTGTGTATGGAGATGCTTTATACCAACTTGGGACTTCTTGCGATTCATCTGTTCCAGAATATTGCAGGTACGCATCAACTACAATATTTAGTTTGGATTCTGGTTGGGAAGACAGCCTCATTTGGTTTTGTTTGAATCTAAACTTCAGTTCAGAAAGCAAATCTTCATAACCTTTATCTCTTTGTAATATCCGAGTCAAATTTGAATACATTGTACCACTGTAAAGGATTGTGCCCACCAACTTTCAGACAAATAGGTGCAAGGTCTTTTGCGCTACCTGTGGTGGAATTTTACCTTAAAATATATAAAAGAGTACTGTCTATAATTTTGCTATTTCTTAGCCAATTTGAATGAAATCTCCATGAAGATTTTTCCCCTCCATTTTCCTACTCAACAAATTTCAGTTGAGCAGGTACAGAGGTATGTACGAGAGCGCACTGTATAATTTAGGGATTTTTACATAAAGTAGGGGGGGACAGAGAAAAAAAGCTTATTCCTCAATTTTATGGGTAATTATTGAGGGGTGGCTCTAATTAAGAACCTCATTAAGATCAAGGAGAATTTTCAAAACAAAAGAGGTGAGCAGCTTCCATTTCTCTCTCCATATTTTGATAGAAATCTGTACGAAAATGGCGTATCACAGAGGAATGTGGAACGAAAAACAGTTGAAGGTATTGCTTTCAAATCAGCTGGCACCAAAGTCACAGAAAATGCAATAGGACGGGGTGCGTGATGATTGTAGAACACACAGCGGCAACGGCACAAAGACTCGGATATCCAGCAAGTTACAAACAAGGACTCCTATGCTTCATACTCAATATATTCCACCAATATATTAACATCTTTCCAAATAACACTGGGGATGAAGGACCCTTTCTCTGCGGTTAGAAGCCAGAACTGCCAGTTTCCCTTCTTCTAGTCTCAACCCCTGTAAACAGATGCACTATTTGGAAGATTTGAGAAGAAATGTATCAGTTGCTGGAAACATTTCTCTGTGTTTGCAGCCCTCAAAATCCAAATTGCTAATGAGTCTTTAGGAGTGTTCTATATCAATCTGCTTCAGGGAAGTTCCATTTCCATATGGACACTGCCAGAGTCAGCCCAGTTAGTTTCTGAATTTGGGAATTAATTAAATTCAGAAGCACATCTTTACTGGATACTTTGCCTTGGCCTTTTGAGTACTGCCACCTCAGTTGCCTGGGATCAATTCCTAAACATGAAGGCCAGAATGCTGCTAAGAATTATTGCCATTGTAAGTATCATTGTGCAAATAGGTGCAAATTTTTAGCATTCATGGAAGGGCTCTGTCTATGATAGATCTGTAGAAGCAGTACCATACAACCTCAGTGTTGTACACCCCCATATCTGTGGGATCAGTATCTATAGCATTCATGGAAGGGCTCTGTCTATGATAAATCTGTAGAAGCAGTACCATACAACCTCATTGTTGTACACCCCCATATCTGTGGGGTCACTTATCCGCAGTCTAAAAATATTAAAAATATATATTTTTTAAAAAACTAGAAATACATATTTTCACTAGGTATTTACTGATCACTAGAGGGAGCCAAAGACCTTGCTATATATTCTTGTTCTTGTAACACAGTCTCTGGCTCCCTCTAGTAGCCAGTTCTGGCAATACATCATGAAAATACATTTTTTCTGCATTTTTCTCTTTTTCCATGCTATGTATTATGTTCACTATTATCTGAGGTTTTTGGCATCTGCAGGGGGCTTGGAGCCAATTCTCCATGGATACAGGGGTCCTACTGTAGCTTTTTGAAAGCCCCTGCCCAGTGCACAACATATATCACAGTTTGAAGTTTCCACTGCGCAACTGCTTCCATGAGAGTGTGATCTAGCATCTTCCACATAACTGTGCCTGTGTATATTTACACTACATGATTGCTCAACAGCATGATTCAGTCAATATGAAGACTCAAGTTGATCAACCAAATTCAGCCTAAAGACACACACCTAAAAACCAGCTCAAGTCATTTAAAAAAGGCTTTCCAAAATCTGAAGACCGAAAGTCAAGTTGTTATTACTCACTGAGGGACTGTTAATATCAGGAGGAGTGGACATGTCTCCAAACAGATCCATCTGGTCAACACCCTTTAAAAAGGAAGAAATGGGAGAGTTATGTCTGAATGCACAGATCACTCAGATACAAACAACAGCATGAACACAGAAAAAGCTTGAAAAACCAGAGTCTCTGCTGTCTCTCTACTGTCTATTCCAGCTTATCTTGCTGTATTTGTTCAGCCAGAACTTTCTCGACTCATGCAGTCTATTCTGGTTGAACTGCTATCCAAGAGTCTATTGCCTAACTATTCAGGTTAGAGACTTCCACATACCAGTTTCATTTTGCCAGCTTGATCAAAAGTTGCTTCGTCACTGCCATTCTGAAACAAAGCAAAGTCACATGGGTTTCAACGGTCGGTTGCTGTACTCTCTGCTACACGAAACATCAAGCACGAACAAGCTTTCTCTGCTTCACACTAGTTGGAAGCAAGAGTGGTATCTGAAGCCTGTTAGGTGATGGGTCTTCGATGGCCAGAGGGCAGGGGTTTGTTTCTTACCTCTGTTTTGTTAGCCTCTTCGTTCTGAAAAATGACAAGATACCGTTTCAGTATTTATAAGAATAAATAACAGCATTTATTAGCTACTCCTTAACAAATCAAGCTGTTATTCTCTTGGGCTAGGACTGTCTAATTAGGTTGACACCAGATCTCCAGGAGGCAGAAGCCTTTCACACCCTCCCCACCCTTTTAAAATTGTTTTTATTTGGAACTGTGGATCCAGGTATTAAACCCTGAATCTTCTGAGTGCAAAGCATGTTCTGTCCTATTAAGCTATGGACCCCGTTTTCAAAGGAAAGAATACCGTCTTCTGCTTCCTTATCTTGTTGATAGAACAAACATTGTTTTAGAGTACACTGGGTAGTGGCTGGTATTGCTGAATTCACACAGGGTTCTTCCAGTTTATCTCAGGCAAACTCTGCTTTGGAGCAATTGTAGATATTATGTACAACTGCTAGGTTTCCTCCCACCCACCCCCCATTCCAGATTTTAGGCTACTTAAAACTAATCAGCATTACCTTTCTCTTGTTGTCCTCTTCTTTCTTCTTCATGTTATAGATTACTTGAAAGAGATCCTTCAGATCTACCACTAGAGGCTCTGCCTAGAGACACAAATGCATAGGGGGTGGGTTGGTTGGTACAGACTAGTTCAAGGACTTACACTGTTGGACTAACTGCAGAATGACTGAACTCAGCTTAAAGTTAAGCTTTATGAGGCCATAAGTGGAGTCTACTGATTAGAAAGGCCTTTGGTGAACATGACGTCTAGACTGTATCCTCCCCTGGTCATGACCACCCACTCTATCACCATGAGCATATGTAAAAATACAGACAATACAGTGTGAACACTCCATGTGTCTCAATAAGTGGATTTTAAACCATGGAAACTCACTCTGTAATGAATCCATTAGTCTTTTAAGGTTCCACAACATTTTGTGCTTTGCTTTTGCCCTCCATCTTTTCCTTTTCTTCCTTTAATTTTGTCGACATTGCACTAGGACAAAGATTACCGCAGCTCACCCACACTACCTGGTGTTCACCTCCTGAGACTTTTCCTGCCCTCTGACCTTAGTTGTGTGTGTGTGTTCTGTGCCATCAGATTGGAACTGACTTATAGCAACCCAACAGGGCCTTCAAGGTAATTGAGATACTTAAGGAGTGGTTTTAACAATTCCACTCCCCCTGTTAGTTTCCATGGCCAAGAGCAGATCCTGTTCTTTAGAGTCCCAATCCATCACTCTATCCACTAGACCACGCTGGGAATCCCATTAATGTTAGTTAGACTGTCCTTGTTCTTGAACGTTTTTGAAGGGCATGTTCCTAAGTGCTGTTTCATTATGCCCTTCCTTTAGACTTTTATTTAACCAGCACAAATCATTCCCATTACAATGAGCTGAATCAAAAAGAATTAACTGTGGTTAAGCTCTATTGAAATCACATGGGACTCCGGTCAGCCACGAATGACTAACTTGGTCTGGATCCAACCCAATCATAGAATAGTGAAGTTGGAAGGGGCCTATAAGGCCCTCAAGTCCAACCCCCTGCTCGATGCAGGAATACAAATCAAAGGATATCTGCCAGGTGGTTGTATAAGTTTCTCTTGAATGGCTCCAACGTTGGAGCACTCCCACCTCTTGAGGTAATTGATTCCATTGCTGTACTGCAATCATTCAGTTAAGAAAGAACATTTCCAGTGGGCCAAACAGATGCCCACAAACAGGACATGAGGACAAGAGAACACTCTTTGTCATGCTCTCTGGAAAATAATACAGGTATGTATATCGCTTTTTGTACTGGAAGCATTATATATATATCCATCATGGATCTATCTATGGCTAGCCCCATCCACCAGGAATTTGTCCAGTTGTCTTTCAAAGCCATCCACAGTGATAGCACATCACTACATCTTGCGTTCTCAGATTCCATCACTGTATCTTGCAATAGCATCTAGACTGCTCTTCCATCACTTCCATGTGTAGTGTGAAGAAATACTTTTTATGTCCTGGATTATTTGTTTTCTTTCAGCTACAGTGGATAACAAGGGCTCTAGCAATACAAGGGAAAGATGCCTATGAATTTATTCCACACTGTAAATTATTTTACATGCTTCTATCAGGAGGAGCTGGACAGCTCAGTGGCTTGGAGCATAAGAATCTGGAGTTCAATTTCCCACTGACGTTTTCCAGAGAAATGCCAGCCTGTGCAACCTTGGGCAAATTGTGGGAACTCCACAGCAGCACCAGAAGAAGGGACCAATAAACCATAAGTGAGAACCAACTTGATGGCACATAGTTATTTATTGACCAATCAGGTTTTTAGTGTCATTTGCATTGCCTCAGAGGCCTCTCTTTTTTTAATGTTAGGGAATGAACACAGCATAGAGCACTTTAGCCTTTGTAATTAGGACCTGCTCTACATTTCTCACATCTGTATAATCCACCAGATATGCTCCAGATTCCATCTCTCCTCTATTCAACTATGGACTCCAAGAGAATCCAATCTTTGAAGATAGCCAGTTTTGTGTAGAACTATGCTAAATCAGTGTGGCGTAACAGACAGAGTGATGGACTAGCACTCAGAAGACCTGAGTTCAAATCCCCACTCAGCTATGGAAACTCACTGGGAGTGTGGAACTGATAAAACTGCACTTTAAATGCCTCACTTCCCACAAAAGCACTAGTCGGGTCAATGTAAGTTACTTCTGACACAAGGCTGTAAAATAATATATACTATAATGCTATCCTGTTCAGCACTGGAACTGCACAATCTGATTTTTTGAAACCTGATCATTAAGGCTGAGGGCAATACAGGGGTCCTTTTAAGGAGAAAAGCAGGGAAACAAACAAACAAACACACCAGTCATCCATCCATCCATCCCCGGTCGTGAGACCACTCCACTATTAACATTTTACCTGCTGTGCAGTTTTTATGGCAAAGAACTGGTGTTGCCCTTCTCCTCCGCAAACATAGCCAAAGGCACGATTGTCGGTCACATCTCGAGCAATAAAAGAGATTTTGTTGACTGGGTGCTCATGCTCAATAACCTGGAATCAGAAGAGATGATATAAGATCGACTTTTAGAAAACCCTTGGAAGGGGTAGCACTTTGACTGGTTTATAAAAGCTAAAGCACAAGCAAATTGAGAAGTCTTCCTATTGCTATGAATTGTAATTTTTAACACAAGGATTCACTGCAGTTTCACCTTCCCACCATGAATGCTACTAGCCCACTTTGCTTTAACTTAGGCATTCACTGTTTGAGAGAGCACGCTAGACATAGCTCATGGGTGTTAAAGGCTAGGAAGTGTTGGCTTCATGAAGTTACACAGGTGCACATTGACCACAGGTAACTCTAAATCCCAGAATTGGAAAGATTTACAGAGTACGGGGAAAGAGATTATTAAAAGGAACATAGAAGGAAATATCGCTCTAGCTTAGATGGATGTGCAAAAGAGAAACTTTGTACATATACCTCCCTGCTTGCAATGGAGTGGTGGAGTCAGGTCTCTCAGGGACAAAATCCAAGTCCTTTTTGAGAACTAGGGACTGTTACATCATCTATTACCCCCCCCGC